AGAATTTAAAGTTAAACTAAATTCAATCAAAACCAACTAAATACAAAAATATTTACAAAATTTTGAATTTGTATTCTTTTGTCCCAATACACTTTACAAATTTATATGATCTATTTCTTTCTTGAAGTTAATTTCTTAAGAGGGAAAACCTTTTTGGATATGCAAAAAACATTGACCTTACCTATTTTTTTGAATTCTACATATGCTTAGCAACAAAAATAGGGCTAAAATTATTATAATTAATATCAAACTTCAGAAAAAAAAAAAAAACATGATAATGAATAATGTGTATTGCAGCAGAATATGATAACGAGAGTGATAAATTTCTTAAATGCTCCATAATGCAAACATTCTAAATAATTCCAGAAAAGATAGTAAAACTTATTCTGAGTATTTATAAGATTCAACAATTTTTTTCTCTAATAACTAGCAAATTACATAAATAAGTTTGATTCAAATAAAACATGTTTGTCTTTTAGACAAACAATCTATTTAAAAGAAACTAATCCAATGTTGTGAAAAAAAATATATAATTGAAATGTAACTATGGATAAATTCAAACAAATGGAATTTTAAATTTCATGTTTTCTTGAAAGCAACTACAACAACAACAAAATCAAGCCTTTGTCCCACTACGTGGGATCGGCTACATGAATCTTTTTTCTCCATTGTCCTGTTAAAAGTCAAATTCTCGTTTAAATCTAATAAAGAAATAACATTTCTAATGTTTTATAACCAAGCCTTTTTAGGTCTACCCCTACCTTTCTTAATATAAGTCAAATATAATACATCTACTTTCCTAACCGGGTCATCGGAAGGCCGTCGTTTTATGTGAACAAACCATTTAAGGCAACTCTCTCTAATCTTATCTTTCACTAGAGCTACTCCAACCTTTTCATGTATATGCTCTTTTCATATCCTATCTCTAAGGGTAAATCCACTCATCCACCTGAGCATCCTCATCTCTGCAACACTTAGTATTATGCTTCTCTTTTAATGGCCAACATTCTGCACCATAAAGCATTGCAGGTCTCACCACCATCTTATAAAATTTTCCCTTAAGTTTGAGGAGGGTTTTTCTATCACACAACAAGCAATATGCATTCCTCCACTTCAACCATCCAACTTGAATTTTACTGATAATATCCCCATCTATTTCACCATCAATCTGAAGAATAGATCCGAGATATCTAAAATATGTACTCTTATTAATGACTTGATCGTCCAAAGTCACAATCAGCTATAAGAAGATAAGACAATAAAGAAACTCGCAAAAAAACACCAACCCATGAATAAACTGTAAGAAGCACTAGTGGCAAAAACAAACCTTTAGAAATAGTCAGAAAGGATGATCCACAAGGAAAATCCACAAATAATGATAGGAATAGAAATATTCGTGGCCTCAATCGAAACAACGGCCACCGTAGAAAAAGGACCACAAGGCAGCAACTCCATAATAGTTATAGAAATAAAGAAAAATGGTAGAATGTGAATAGGAAAATAGAGCGACTAAATTAAAAAGCTTCTTGAAAGTGGAGCATCTAACATAACATTTAATCATTATTGTGTGTTTGAATTGACTGGAGATAATACATATTTATCAAAATCATGATAAAATTATGGGATGTATTTATTTCTCCTATTGTTTGGAATGTGTGATTAAGAGATATTTCACAAATAATTTTAATCCATCAAAATACATCTCTCATATCACAATCCTTTCTTATGGAATATATATCTCACATCACAAATTGAACAATTATTTGTCTACTGCATCAAATATTTAGCAGTGCATAATGATGAATACAGATTGTAGCCTAGTGAGTTGACCCCCACCAGTGGCGAACTCAGCTCAAGCAAGGATGGAATGGAAGGCAGTACACAGCAACATGAGATAATGAAAGATTGAGTAGCTTAGTCTTTTGGAGTTAAGTTTGATAATAAAGCAGATTATGGGAAAGTTAACTCCTATATTCCGTATTTTGGGATCTTCAATTGAGCAATCCTCCCCAAGTTCTGCAAGGATACAAGCATGGTTTAAAATTGCGCAATATGAAGCTCTCCTTGAGGCCCGCCTTTGTGCAATTCCAGTGAAAAGCGTCTTGAGGCTTACGCCTTAAGTGTTTTTTATGAGGCTTGCGCCTCAACTTTTTTGAGGCCCGCCTTAAGGCGCGCCTCGCCTCACTGACATGAGGCTTACGCCTCACCCAAAATATATTAAGACTTACATAAATCCTGAAGTAAAGCCGCAAACAAATCACACTTCGTGTACCCCATAGTCGCAGCAACTTCCTCTCAACTTCCTTAACCTCTAACCCGTCGCCATTTTTTAACATATTATTTGATTATTATATAAAAATTTACTTTTAATATTTATTTGCACTTAACACAATTTTTTTATTTTGAGGCTCACGCCTCAAAATGCCTTGAGGCTTACACCTTGCCTTACAAACAAAAACCGCCTCAATACCTAATTGCGCATTTTTAAACATGGTGATGACAGTGCTGATGACTTATGAGTTCTTATGTGATATGTCATTGCTATTTATTTTTGGAATTATATGTTAATGAAAAGAATACTGTGATTTGGGAAAGATGGAGTTTGAGTTGAACTATATTTCATATTATCTTATTATTGGGATCTTTTGATTTCACTTCATATATTGTGCATTTTTATGTTTTATATATTATTTATTCATTAGTATATACAAAATTTATCATTTTATGTTTACACAATTTTTTGATTTTGAGGCTTACGCCTCAATACGCCTTGAGGCTTACGCGTCGCCTCACGAACGAAAAACGCCTTAATACCCGATTACGCAATTTTAAACATTAGATACAAGAGACATTATTACCAAAGCGCTCTCTATCCTGCTGGTTTTGTTATTTCCATTTCAACAATTAATGTAAGGGGAACATACCACCTTCATTGAAAGGTTTGTGAAATTTTGCTACAAAACCCAACAACAACAGCAACATCCAAGCCTTTATCCCACTACGTGGGGTCAATTAAATGAATATTTTTTCTCCATTATGTCTTGTTAAGAGTCAAATTCTCATTTAAATCTAATAAAAAATTCATTTATAATATTTTCTAACCATATCTTTTTAGATCTACCTCTACCTTTCTTAACATAAGCCAAATCTAATACATGTACTCTCCTAATTGGATCATCAGAAGGCCAACGTTTTATGTGCCCAAACCATCTAAGGCAATTCTCTCCAATCTTATCTTCCACTGGAGGAGCTACTCCAACCTTTCACGTATATACTCCTTTTGCATTCTATCTCTAAGAGTGAAGCCACTCGTCCACTTGAGCATCCTCATCTCTGCAAAATTTAACCTAATTTTATGCTTCCCTTTTAATGGTCAACATTTTGTGCCATACAACATTGCAGATATCACCACCATCTTATAGAATTTTCCCTTAAGTTTGAGCTATACTTTCCTGTCACACAACAGGCCCGATGCATTCAGAAAAATTATTGGCATACCATGCCTAGAACTTAGGCATAATAAAAAAATTAAAATGCAGTCAACAAAATTGAATGAATTATAGAAACATAACAACGTATTAGAACTAATAGATATAAATCCTTTGCAAACACCAAAGTCATACTTAAGTGATTTGCTAAATCCTAACAGAACTAAAACATGGAGAACCTACGAATGCTAACATAAATAAGATCGAAGAAAAATTCACAGATATTTCTCAGTCTGCTGCAAAAGAAATCACAAAAGTTAGCCAATTGATAGAGAAAACACCGGTCTTCCAACTTCCTACCACATTATGATTAGTAAAATCTGGAAATAATATATATTCTACATAAATGCTAGGAAATCAGGAATGCTATTTGAATTCTAAATTATCCAAGGAATTTCTACTATTGCCACTCTTCTTGTGATCAAGACTCAAGCTATTGGATTCCACAATCCATAGACCAGGCTTATAGAAATTAATTCTGAAATCCAGGCTACCAGCTACGTTTCCTCCGTGCAACGTCCATCAATAAAGGTCAACACGATTCCCTACGGCTAACCTCCTGTATACAGCTATCTAATGGGCGATTTATTTAAGTTTTCTACTCTTACAATAGTATCTTCTTCCACAATGCATACACCTTTAAATAATTTATTGTCTATTATAGTCCCATTAATACTTTTATTATAAATGTGCATAAATACCCCATAATTCAGCAATAAATATGATTTTACATTTTGTTCAATTAGAAAACCATGAATTTGGAGACATCTTAAAAAACTATTATTGCAGAAAACTAATGGTGATGATACGCATTGTCTCAATTACAAGAAAATCAGGTAAATAGTCAACTTTCACAAAAAGCTTCTACAATATTATGGCATTTGCCTGAAAATGATTTCAGCATTCTAAAGTTCCATTACCATTGCCTTTCAAGTAGATAGGCTTCTGATTCAAATCTGCACATAACCACTTATAATCTTGGGAAATGGTTCCTTGGGCTACTCAATCCTCGCTTCATAGAAAATGTTACAGGAACAGTATCTCATAAAGATTTGAGAAAGGAACTTTCATTCATATAAACAGCAAACTAAAAAGCAAATCCCAAAAGAAAATCCACCTTGATAGGTTTGTTACCCATGAAACTATGTTCTCCCCAGGGAATTATCTCTTAATCTACCAAATCACATTTGCAAAAACTGCCTATGCATTTGAGCCATTTCAGTTTGTGTGGCCACTAGATTCTACAAGCCTATTAAAATATGAAAAAAAAAATTTCTAGAGCAACTATTGCTGTTCAAAACTTTCTAACCATATTTGCATCTCATGTGGCAATGGGATAAAATAGCATGATTCCCTGAAACTTCAGCATATCGATTTAAATATGATTAAAACCAGAAGTTTGAACAGGAACCATGGGCTTTTTTCCTTCTAGCAAATGTGGGGAAAATCTACAGATGCTAAAAATATGACAAATATTTTAGTTATTATTAGAATTAGGACAAACCGACAAACCTTCCATAACCGCATAGTCCGATCACGGCCAACTGTTAGAAGCCGCTCTTTATGCAAACAATCAATAGTCAACACTTCACTTTGATGACCAAAAAGATTATCCATGTGGGTTCTGTCCTCTACATTCCAAAGCTTGATTGTTCGATCAAAGGAGCCAGAGAAGAGTTGTGGAGTTCCCTGCCTAAAAGTAAGGCAGGTTACAGGGCCTCTATGGCCACGGAATGCCTGTTAAATATAACAAAGATTAGGGACCAGAATAACCAAAAAAATGCATATTAATACAACTAATAAACAAATTTGGCCTTCCATTGCAGGTATACTTATACATGATGATCGTATGTTATACAGAAGACAACAACTCTGAATTGAGAACTATTTCTACATCAATATTAAATTGGTGCAAAATATAGCAATCTATATAAATAAATGTCATCAAAAGAGAAACTTGCCTAAATTGAAATTTGCCTAAATAGACATCTGGTTTACATTTAACATTATAAATTATTAAAGGCTACAGAAATGTTTTATACTCTGGTTTCAAACATAAGGAATAACAAAAGCAATGTGCAAATTAAGGTTTCGTTTGGGACAGCTTTTTTACTGCTTCTTAAAGCAGCTTTCTAGTAAAAAAATTTATTTAGACATGCTCATCCCACGTAGTGGGATAATAGTTTGTTGTTGATGTTGTTGCTATTGTTGATTGTATTTAGACATCATAGAAATATCAAGATTACCTGGATGTGCTCACGTGTGCGAGTATCCCACAGATGCACATCTCTGTCTAAACCTCCAGAAGCTAAATAGCGGCCATCAGAGCTGACAGCCAAACTTAAGACGTTCTTACTCCTCTTTGATGTTGAATTTTGAGGACCATTTGCACGGTGTGAAATCAGTACATCCTCATTAGGCCACAAATACTTCTCATGTTTTCCACTTTCAACATCCCAATGCAAAATGGTTCCATCTTTAGAAGCTGAGAACCCTCTACGATCATCTTCAGCTAGTCCTACTGCAGTTACGGACATCCGGTGCTTCACCAGCACTTTGAACTCATCATCAGGTTCAGGATTCAAAACCCTACATTGTCGCAAGCGAACAGTAATCAATACTTGGCGATAGTTTCTGAAATAGAGGCATTTGAAGCAAAGCAACAATCTAATTCGCTTGTGCGCATTAAACACATTATAACTTTTACAAGATTATCCGGAATCACTGATAAAATAAATAACAAATCCTCAAAACCAACAAACACACATTTGCTACTGTGGCAGAGAAAGACAAATTGTGCAAGTTGAAAATAAATGTGGCACCTTGAAGCTATCAACCGCCTCACACGACCACTTGCCTCGAGCTGGTCCTTCTGCAGTATCTCAGCGACAAGAGAGTCCCTCCTCCCTTCCCTCTCCTCCATATTTATTTCATCACCCTCTCCAACCCCCTCCTCTTCTTCAAGCTTCTTTGCCGCAGCTCTAATCCTTTCAAGATGCTCCTTAGCCATCCGGAACCTTGTTTCTGCTGCGGTCTCCTCAGGCTCCTCCCCTTGATCCTCTCCACCCACCACCTCGGCCTCAGATTCGTCGCTAGGCAAGCTCTCGACTTCCTCTTTGTCGTTGAATGCCGTAACTCCCTTGCGCCGTCGCTTCGCGTCAGCTTCGAAGAACGGATCGTCCCCATTGGAGATGGATTTGGGCTTCTTCTTGCCTCCTCTGGTTCGAGAAAAATTCTTCACCCTCTGCCTCTTCATCTCGATGGGGCTGTTTGGATACAGGATTTATGCTAAATCCTGCCAAACAGGATTTATTAGGGAACCGTTAAATCTCACAGCGACTCCGTTTCGCTCTTTTTTGCCGTAAATCCTGATTTGCTAAATCCGGGAGTTCGGTGAATTTACAAGATTTGGCCGAAGAAGCGCGCGAACGGAAAAAAGATTGCTACTTTCTCAATGAACAAGCTATCGACGTTCTCTTTACTTCCGATCGAACAGACGAACGGCGAGGAGGCGTGATACACACTGTGTACTGTATATGCATATAGTGTGTAAACTCACCGGGACACCGCGCAGAATAATTTCTGCGCGCCTTGGCGGCGAAGTCGAAGAGCAACGGACAGTGGAGAGGGAAAAAGGAAACCTAGCAAATCCGCCGCTATATAGGAATAATTTAATTTAGTTTAATTAATTCAATTAAAGTTATTATTTGATTTTTTTTAAATGCCATAATAAATTATAGAATAAAGCTTTGAAAATGTAACATTTTATAGAAGATCTAATAAAATTAAAATTAAAGAATAATCATACTTTCATAACCATAATTTAATAAAACTCTAAATTTTAATTAATTATGATTGTTGCAGACTAGAATATATGCGATGATATAGTTAAAAAAATTTCAGCTTAGCATTGTACGGATATCTAACACACAAACAAAAGATGAAAGAACATCAAGATTTTTATTTGAAAAATCCTGGAAAGGAAAAATCATAAGGACACGCTTAGTTGAAAAAATTCCAATGTGTTTACTTAGGTTGCAAGAGGCTGACTCGTCCCTAAAACTTAGGACGATCATATTACAATAACAACTCTCGGGTTCAATTCAGTTACAAACGAATATCGAAATGTTGGTCTCAGTTGGCGATCAGGTAGAAAACTGGCATCAGTCGGTTGTTGGATAGAGTTCTTGCGTCACTTGGAGTCGGGCAAAACTTCGGCATCACTTTGAGATCAGGCGGAACTCCGACATCACTTGATGGTCGGGCGGAACTCCAGTGTCACTTGGAGTTCGGGTGGAACTCCAGCGGTGGTCGAGGTGGAGTCTCTTCCTTCTCTTTTTCCTTCTCTTTTTGCTTCCTTGGTTAATTCCGGCGTCGGTCGGTTGCCGGGTGAAAGTTCGACGATATACAAGGAGGAGCTTCTTCATTCTCTTCATTTTCTTTATTTTCTTCTCTTCTTATCTTCTTGTTTGGGTCATCTTTCAAGCAAAATAAAGAGGTATATTTATAGTTTTATAAGAGTGGCATGACCAGTAAATAGGAGAAAGAACATGGGTGAATTGGGAGTGGTTCGAATAGACGACCGATGTATAATCCCTTGATCTTGGACAGTTTATCAAGCATTTGAAGGCTCAAATGATATCAGAATTCGACGATCTTGGGCTTGTTGGATTTGTTTCGTCGAGCCGCTTGATTAGATTATAAGCACACCATATTTGAAAATTGTTTGATAATCTAAATTATAGTTTGAACACTCCAAAATGTGCTTCGAGTCATTGATTTGGACTCATTTGGGCTCGGATTGAGTCGAATTTGGTGTCGTTGGGTTCATATTTCCAAGACGTTCATTTCGACTATAAGTTTACTGAAATCATAGTTCACATGATCATGAATTTAATTTTTGAAGTTTCCAACTTGATTTTTGCCTCCATATTCGTGCCCGATCACGATAATTTTTTGATGATACATCAATGATACTTGAAAAATCAAAATAATGAACTCAAAAGATTAAGTTATGACATAAAATTTGAGAAATAAGCGTGGTATAAATAACGAAAATTTTTGTCGGAAGACTCATCTTCTCATTGAAAACGCAACATTGAAAAAAATAAAAAAAGATCACATGTTAGAGTATGGATAATTATTTTAAAATTGCTAGAAAGTGAGCCTTGGACCTTAAAGAGGACATGTCAACATAATGATGGATATTAATGCATGTGATTTAAGTTGTCTTTAACACCTTCTCAAAATATCTTTAAGCATTTTTTATGTATGCTTACGTGCATGAAATACTCCTTTTGCGTTTCTCCCTTATTTTATTAAAGGTGAGAACTTTTAAAAGTATATTGGAATGTTTTTCTAGACGGCGCAAAATTGTTGTGTTAGGAAAATTGAGATGATGAAGTGCTTGTTTAACATATTAGCAATGCAAAAAGATTTAGCACGAACAAATAAAAAAAGCAAGATGGACTAGAGCATTTTTTATGTGAAAAACCCAAAAAGAGAAAAACTATGAGGCATAGCTCAATTATAAAATCCACAATGTAACAAGTGATACAGAGATCCTTATTTCTTATTTGTTGAATAGGAAGGGAAGTATAAAAATCAAATATGACAATTAATACCTAACAACAGGATTTGATTTTTCGAATAGAGATTATGGATGTTCACAGGTGGACTTTTATACCCAACAATAAGGTTAAATCGTGTTATTACTCTGGAAATGGTAGAGATTTATGATATGGATCCTCAATGATAATGATGGTTGTCGACGGCGGCAAAGATAGTTGAAAAATGCTAGAGAACTATCCCTTTTTCTCTCTTATTTAGAGTTTTTTTTTTTGGGAGTTACATGCTCGATAAATATGAAGAATATCCAAGGTAAATTTGAAGTGCTAAATCAAACAACTTAAAGTGATTCTTTCGATTATAGAGCATTCATCGAGCATTTAAGTGCCTTAATGATTTGCAAAATTAAGTGATCTTAGGCTTATTGGATTCATTTCGTCGAGCCGCTCGATTTGACTATAAGCATGTCATATTTGGAGGTTATATGATTACCCACACATAATGCTTTGAAGCTTTCAAATAAGCTTTAGTCCTTTGATTCAAGCTTATTTGGACTCGGATTAGAATGATTTGGTATCATTGGGTTCATCTTGTAAAGATGTTTAATTTGACTATAAGCTATGATCAGAGTTTGGATGGTCCCAAATTTAATATTGAAAGTTTCTAATTCAAATATGCATAAAGATTTGTGTCGGATCAAGATGATTTTTTTGTTATGTATCAAGAAATATATAATGAAAAATGTTAGTTATGTATACATACTATATAACTTAAGTTAGTAAAATAAAAAGTTAGTTATATAAGTTTTGATTTAACTTCTTTAATAACAAACTCTCTATCAAATTCTGTAAAAAAATTCATTATGAGAGTAACTTTTCTGCACTCTAAAACACTATTCGACATTCAGTTGGATATACAAGTGTTTTCCACATTCTATTGAATGTGGAAAACTAATTTCCACATTCTACTTGAATGCGCTATATTGTTTTACATTTTCTAAAATTTTGGAAAAATGTTTAACGTATTTTTTGAATACAGAATTTTGTTTTACTTATATGTTCCTCTTAAATTAACTTTTAAACATGCTCCTTCGACTAAATCGTAATTGAAATATGCTCCTTTTTATAATTTGGCCTAAAACGGAGGGGAAACAAGATTTTGTATTTCAATATTTTTTTAATAATGTTAGTTAATTTAGTCTTCAGCATACTTGACAATAAATAGGATTTAATTTTAGTAGGATTTACAAAATTATGTAAATTTGAATTTAATAAATCTTGAAGACAATTTAGCAACATAGTTGTTAAATTATATTAATTATTTATACTATTAATTATATTATTAATTAATTTTATTTTAAATTATATTAATTAATTAATTTGCATTGGATAATTATTTAATTAATTTATATTTAAGTGAATTATTTAATTAATTTACATTGGATAATTAATTTATACACTAAATATACTATTAATATTTTAAATATTATTAATTAAATTAAAAACTATTAATTTCTTCCCAATAAATAGGCAATAATAGCTTAGAGGTGTCGAGGGTTTGCATTTTCGTCTTCTCTATTTCGTCGTTGCTGCGCGTGAGATACAGTTTTGCACGAGTCGCCTCTTCGGCTCCTGCTGTTCGACTTCGCTCATTCGACTACGTTCCCTTCCTGTTGGATCGGAAGCAACTACGGGAGCTCGTTCGCTGTGAAGGTAACTTTCTCCCTTTCGCGCGCTTCTTCGGCCAATTCCCGTAAATCCGCCGAATTTCAGGTTTGCTAAATTCAGGATTTACGTTCCAAAGGGGAGACGGTGGTTCTATTCCTCCGTGAGATTAAGCGGGCGCTCAAGTACCGTTTGGCAGGATTTGGCTTAAATCCTGCATAAATCTTGTTGCCAAACAGCCCCTTCGATGTGATAGATCTTTACTGCAATATCTTTCTTATTTTTCCTTGTGTCTAACAAGAGAACAATAATTGATTTTGACCATGGAATGTTTGTTATAGGTATCACCATCAATTTTTCTGATGTCGTTGCAAGAGAGCCTTAACAAGTTTAAACAGCAACAGGAGAAGTGCCAATCTACGCTCACTAGTATAGCTAATCGAAGTTCAAGGCCCACCCATTCTCAAAAACAGGCACCTCCAAGCACTTCTTCAGCTCCATCACGAGTTGCTGCCCCTGTGAAATTTTCAAATGATACAGAAAGGCTTCAGCACATCAATGCTATTAGGAAGTCCCCAGTTGGCGCTCAGATAAAGCGTGTGATTGATTTACTTCTGGAGGCATGGGCTTAAAACCCTTTTATTTATAATTGCAATCATGAATGATGCGACCTGAACAGCATTTTTTCTCTGAATTGCTAGTTATTAGCAGGGTTGTCAAGGTAATCAGTAATATCGGTCTACCTTGTTGAAATTTTAAATAAGGTATTTCCTTGGAGAACCTAACAGCCTGATTAAGCTAATTCCTACTCAAAACATAAAATCAGCGAGAAAAAGGACTGGTACTTACCACCATTATTTGCCTTTGCCATTTTGTTTTTGTTCCCTTAAAATAAGTTCTTTTTTTTTAAATTTTTTTTTTTATATAAATTTTAAGCTAATCCTAATATAAACACAATCTATTACTTGCATGTTATCCACAATTATACTTGTTGAAAAGATAGGATAGGAGCCTGAAACATGTGCATTAAAACTTTTAACATCTTCAATGTTTTTTCTTTATTAGATTTAAACGAGAATTTGACTTTTAATAGGACATAATGGAGAAAAAGGATTCATGTAGCCAACCCCACGTAGTGGGATAAAAGCTTGATGTTGTTGTTGTTGTTGTTGTTGTTGTAGTGTTTTTTCTTAAGAATATGTGCTCATTTTGTGATATGAGAACCTATGCATGCATAGATGCATGTGTCTTTTAACATTCAAGTGGATAGTGACATAGGAATTTTGAACACCTTTGTGCAGACAAGGCAAGCTTTCACACCAGAGCAAATTAATGAAGCATGCTATGTTGATATCATGGGCAACAAGGCTGTCTTTGACAGTTTGAGGAATAATCATAAAGTACATTACGATGGAAGGTGTTTCTCCTACAAGGTAATTTCCTGCACTATTTTTTGATGAAATGTAATGCTGACAGTGATAAGGAGATATCTTTTCACTTATAAAAAAAACTACAAAATTAATTATGATTTTATTGCATTTTTTTTGTTCTTTATAAAAAATCTTATTTTTTTTGTGCTTGTGAGATGTGGAGAACTATAAATTTGTTGTAGTTGGAAATGCTCCTTGGCTAAATAAGCAAATTGATATGAATCATGGAGCCAAAGTTGAGAAAGTGTGTTTGAATATATGAAATTACTTTTTATATTGCACTTATGTTCTTCAATATGTTGTCCTATTGACACAAAAATAGCCTACCAAGAGAGAGGAGGGGGGGGGGGGGAGGGGTTAGGGGGGGGGGGGTAGTGGTTAGGGAGGGTGATTGACTTGGTGCTTTCAAAAATATTTGCAAGTAAAAAATATAACAACAAGAAATATAAAAACAATTACCACAATAATATAAAATGTAAGTACAAGAATAAAGAAAGCTGATTTTTATGCGATTCAGTCTCAACTAGCCCCATCCACATGCTAATCCCCACCTAGATTAAGGTTCTACTATTGCTAGCAAGCTACTTTACTCCTTGATTTGGCAGAAAAATCATCACAATCAAAATCTCTCTAACGGGTGATTGCTACTCAATACATATTATGAAGTAACATAATAAGCCTTCCAAGACATAGCAAATTCAATGTAGAATTAATTACAAATGTAGAAAACGAAAGCTATTTCTTACAGCACTTTGATTTTATTGAAGAAATATAATGTAAATTGAAGCTTTTGCAATGAATCTAACACTTAAGCTTTTACTCTCCCTTTACGTTAGATTTTGCTTTGAAATGCTTGGAATGAGGGATTTAGAATAAAAGGGATTAAAAGAGATTTCTAAATGTGGTTCTAATATTCTAATGATCTCAAAGATGTCTATTCATAAGTATAACAACCTCAAAACATCTCCCAATGGCTTTTAAAGTGTACTGAGGAAACTTTTAAGAATGAATAGTTTCCATGTATTAAGATTATTAGCCATACGAATCATGGTTTAGTAGTGATCCCTTAAAGATGACTCCATTCTCATGTGACGATAGTCCACAAACAACCAAACAAACTGTGGCTTGTCATCCAAGGTCCTAATTGTGATTCATAAACATGTTTGCAACAATCCATTATTTAATAGAGACCCGCTAATCTATTAGTACTGGCCTATTAAATACGTCAATTCTATAATTTTGATTTATATAGTATATAACCTTCTAATTGCTTTTATTAGCCTATATAGTTGCGGTATGATAAACGTAGAGTGAAAACTAATTTCAAATGAATGATTTAATAACTATAGTAAAAAAACAAAAAATAAAAAATAAAAAATAAAAAAATAATAATAAAACAAAAAAAGGGAAAAAAAAGCTATTGTAACTTTTTTAAGTTTTATATTATGAGAGCCTATGTGAATAACCATGGAAAATACGTGCTCAAAACAAAATGCAAGACTCAATATAACATGTCTTCAGTCTTGCTCGAGTTCATCTCCATTTCTTCCTATTTCATGGTACTTGGATCATATTACTTGTTTAATCTATGAATTATAATCTTTTGCATTTTATTAATCTTATGATCACTCAATTTGAAATATTAGTGCCTCTAATCATATGTTTGCTATCATCAAAACAAGTTCATCGCAATGAAGGCTCATGAGGTTAGCACCAAGTACGTAAAAATTCTATATAAATAGATTTGCTAAGCTCTTAGTGGCTTGTTGGGTAGGCATTAGCTACCAATACAACATGATCATGGTTAGTTGAGCTCTCGTTGTCTTGGTGGTCATTGGGAGGGCTGAGGCTAGAGGCAGAACCACATGCAAGTTAGGGCCCCTCCCCCCCCTCCCTCCCTCAAG